GTCTTGGGGGAGAAACTAGCCCCAAGCTAACGATAGCATTCAGGTTGATTATGCTAGTGAATCAAAATATGAGAAAAGTATAGAAACCTGGAAAATTACCTTTTTATGGATGAAGGAAAAACACTATTTCTTCCTGGAAACTTTACTTGATCTAGGGAGAAATAATCATTCCAGCTCCTTGGAAACGACGAGTTACATTATTGTCAAAGTTTCACTTCTGAACAAGGGTTATAATAGTTTTGGATTTTTCATTATTGCGTTGGTTTATTTCATTGTAACTTATTGTTTGTGTAATTCAGTCAGTCTTAATTAGTTTTTAGAGTGTGTTTAACAGTTAGTTAAATATTGTCTGTTTTTTTTTTTAGTTTTACTTGTAGTACCTTTAGATTTTTCATATTTTGGTTAATTTTTAGGTGCAGAATTCACAATACAAGTATTGCATTGTGATTATGTTTACATTGATTGGGCAATGAATACTCAACAAAAGATACCATTTTCAAACAATGTATTCAAATTTTGTTGACAGGCTAAAATATAGACTCATAAACATGAAAATGAAGAACGCTAGATCTATAATTTCACTATGTTTTAGTAAGTTTTAAAAACACAAAACATAGTTCCAGTTATAGTTTTTCTCCAATAAATCTGCAGTATGGAACTTTTTTTTATTACATATTTGTTGAAACAGTCATTATGTCCCGACAATATATTATGAGACAGATGATCTGTGAAAAAAAATCTAAGTTCTTCTGCCTTCTCCCAGAGCTGTCTAGAAACAACCAATCAGAGCCAGGAGGCGGGTCTATTGACAGCTCTAGCCGAGGGCAAGCTGCAGCTAGCAGAGGAATGCTCAGGCTAGTTAGCATGGCCAGAGATGACGACAGACAAACAGTTTTCCTGTAACGGTAAGTTGTTTCTCTGTCATTAGCACATTGAGCAGCGGTTCATGAGATTGATGGACAGCGCTAAGGCCCTCATCCTGGCTCTGATTGGTTGCTTTTGGTCTGGAGTGGTGCATCTCTTCAGACAGCTGTCACAGCTCTGGGAGGAAGTGTAGGAGATCGTCTCATAATATCCTGTCACAAAATGGTGACAGCTTTAACAAATATGTTAAAAAGCAACAACATATTTACCAATTTTATTAAATTCAACAAATGGAAGAGTGTTCTCAACTTCAGTTTTCATTTTAGTGAACTATGATAACTTTGTCCTGAACAGAACCTTTTGCTCTAAACCAGGGGTTCACGAACGGCCCGCGGGGCCCGCCTCCACATTTGGTCCGGCCCCCTGAACAATACCAGAGAGTATTCTGTGGGTGTTTTGTTTTGCATGGCGCATTTCTGCCATCTGTTGGACTTTTAGGGAACTGCTTGACTTTTATGTTATTTAATCAGTACGGTTGTTTGCTAGCAGTAGAGCAGATGAACATGTGTCTGTTATGAACGCAATGCCTGTAAGTAGCAACTTATA